GCAACTTGATTGGAATATCTAAGATTGTAATCCTGTAATTTTAATTGTACTAAAACTAACTTTGAAAGCATACAAATAAATTTAAAAAATATATACTCTATAAGAAACTTTGTTTAAAAATTTTGAACAGAGAAATAGTACAGTTTTTAATAATACTATTTGTGAAAATCTTGATCTAAAGACAAAAACCTAAAGCAAATAACCTATACAGACAAGAACTCTAGATAAAGAGGTTTACCAATTTGGCTATTAGTTAAACCAAGCATAAAATTGCATTATGCAAAGCTAACTGAATTGGTAGTATAAAAGAACTTTAAGAATATATAAGATACTAATAAGGTTGTAAAGAGAAATACTAAAGTTGTATAAACTTTACAAGAGTATAGTAATTTAAGTATTATTTTAACTGCAAGTATTAGTCTTGATTATAGCAATACTGAGTTAGCTAGAAATTGGATAATAAAAGGCTTTAGTGGGTTTAGTACAAAAACAAAAGTTCTTTATTTGGGTAAACTATTTTAAAAACCTAGTGATTATGGTATATTTGTATTAGTGAAAACTAAAATAGTTAGTAAAATAGATAAGTGAATAAATACAAAAACTAGAGTATTTAAATAGAGAACTTATAAGCAAGTTTTAAATATAGCAGCTAGTATAAAACCTTTGAACAGACTACTTAAATTAGAAAATAATTAAAGTTGTATAAGTGGTTAGTTGTATATTTTTCTTATAATTGTCTTTTGTAACTATTATAATACAATTATAAAGCTAAAACATACTATTAATAAAAGTTTAAATCACAAGTACTTATCTTTAATATTAAAAAATATTAAAAAAATAAAAAATAAAATAAAAAATATATATTAAATACTTAATAAAATAAATAATAAAATTGTTAAAATAAAAAATAAAATAAAAAATATCTGTAAATATTTATATATATATATAGAAGTGAGTCAATAGAAAAGGAACAAATCATTTTAGTAAAATTTTTTTAATTTTTAAATTTAAATAACTTAATAACTATTTAATTAAATCTGCTAAAAATATTTTTATTTTAATCTTGAAATTATATAGAACTAATATAAAAAAAATTATCAAATTTAATAAAATAGTTATTAAGATATTTAAGCTTAAAGTCAAGAAAACTTTTATTTAAAAAAAATTTGTCTCTTTTCTATTAACTTCTTCTCATATATATATATAATTTAAATAATATATTCTTTTTTAACTTTTTTTAATAATCCTTTACACCAACTTTTTTTTAAAAATCTGATCTATAAAAACTATATAATTATTATATTATTATATTATATATAACAAAACTTTACTTTGGAGTAACTAAAATTAGAAACTATTTATTGCATGTGGTTTGTAATTAAAAAGAGCTAAAAAAGACTCAAGTCCTTATAAGCAAAGTCTTCTAATATAAAACTCAAGTATTATTAAGCAAAGAAGTAGTAAATAAGCTTTGAAGCTTTGTCAAGTACTATAAAAGCTTAGGCCTAAATAGTTATTTAGTTTAATATAATACTTTATATAGTGTAACTCTTATAACTTTTTTACAAGTTGGTTATTTTTTTAGCTCTTACTATTGGAATTTTCTCTCAAAATTTTTACCAAAAAGTAGAAAATCTGATGTACTCTTTTTAAAGGATTAACACTATTTACCTTTTAAAATTAGTAACAATAATCACTAGAAAGTCACAACACTATATACATGATCTATGATGAATGACAAATGTTAATTTTAAGAAGAAAACAAAAACTTCAACCTTTCTTTTCATATGATAAATGGAATATATTATAATACAGAAATAAAGCAAATGTGAGATACTCTTTATTTAGTATTATAATATTTTTAACACCAAGTATAAGCAAAAATAATGCTTTTATGTGTCTTGTTTTTTTTTTATCCTTCTTTTCTTTTTGTCTTTTTTTTATTTTATTTTTTTTTAACATACATTTAGGTTTTATAGTTAGTTCATCCTTTTTTACTCCTTTTTTTAGTTTTTTATTTATATTTCTTGTTGTTCTTTAGGCAAAGATTATGAAATTCTCTTGCTTAATAATTATAAGAGAAGAAATTTAAAGATTTAATAACCATGATGAGCTTGTAAAATCATTCAGTAATATATTTTAAAAGTTTAATTAATTTAAAATAATAGGTATTGAGATAATATCTACTATAGCAGGTTATATATAAGTGCTCTAAAAAGTAATAAGATAAATCAATATTTAAAAGTAGAATAATAAAGGTATGATCTTAGAAGACTTTTTTGTAATTTTTAAGTCATCTAAATAAAATATTGGTATAGTTGCTAAAAGTTAAAAAAAAAAAATAATATAATTTTTTTTGCTTTAATATTTCAAGTACAATATTAGTTAATATAAATATTTAAATAAAAAAACTAATAATTTATAATAAATAGAATATTGTAATTTATTACTATATTTAATTAACTAATTATAATACAAGAATAAAATTGAAAAAACAATTTTGTTTTAAAAAATTCAATTTAAGAATAAAGTATATATAACTTATTTTATATAATCTAAATAGTATAATAAATTTTTATATAATAAATTAAAATGTATTACAAATAAAACTTAATTATTATTTTTTTTAAGATGATCTATTTGGTCTTTTAATTTTTATTAATAACTTTTTTGATAATGTAATTCTATAAACTACTATAAGAAGAGTATATAATTGACTATATATGTAATTTTTCTATATTACCTATTTAAAAAGTTTATCTAAAAATTTTTACTAATTGCTATATTTAATACTTTTGCTTAGATGTTTCATTTTAAACTTTTTGAATCTACATCTGTATTAACATTACTAAGTTATGTTTAGATTATTATCTCAATCTTAAAATTATTTTATTTTTGAGATAAACCTCTTAAAGTCTTCTATACTTATTTTTATAACTAATTTAATATCACTATAATAAAACCAATATTTATAGTTAGAGTAGTTATTAAATTGTTGTATATTTATAAAATTTATTCAGACCTTAGCATTTACTTTATAATATATCTAAATTACTTTAGTATATCTTTATCTGTTTTTCAAATTTTTAATCTAAATAGCCTAATAAGACTATGATTAGTTTATTAGTATATTATATTAGTCTGATATTCTTTTTCTTCAGTCTGTTTTAGCAGCCTAGTTGGTAATACCTTCAAGACCTTTAAATCAGAAATTTTTATCTATATAGGTACTTTAATATTGGTATCTGGTTTCTGAAACTAGTCTTTATAGTAGTATTATTAAAAATCTATACTACTTTTCTATTCAGGTCTTTTTAAATAAACTTTTTGTTTTCTAATTTCAATAAATTTATATAACTACAAAAACTTATCTAAAGTTTTCACTATCTAATACCAATTTGTATTCTTCTATATAATGCTATACTTATACAGATGCTCTATAATCTGCCAGGCATAATAGTATAACTACTATTACAAATATTTTAATCTAATTATTGAAACCAGTTGCTATAATACAAATATCATATAGATAATTATTCAAATTTTTATTATTGATAAAATTTGAGTATCCAACTTGTCACTTGAAAGATTAATAATTTATTCACTTTATTAAGTTGCCACACTTCAAAACTTTTTTATTTTTTAATTAATTTTTATCAAAATTTAATAATATATAAATTTAAATAAGTTATTTATTATATTAAAATTTTATAAAATATTTAATTTAAAAAATCATATTTTATATATTTGAATTTTTTCTGAACACTTTGATTTTTTAATTACACAAAAAATCAACTTTAATTGACTAATTTCTGAAAACCTATAAGAATTTTATTAATAAATTTTTATATCTAATCTTTAAAAATTTATATATTAATGAATTTTAAACTAATTTTAATAATTTTATTGCTGTTAAAATTATAAGAACCTACTCTGCAAGTTTACTTAGAAGTTCAAAAAACATTCAATTAGAAAAATTTTCATAATTAATTGAAATTACAAAAAAAATATACCATCAAGTTTATATATAATTTTAAAATATTACACCCTACCCTTAATATTAGGAATTTTCTTTCTTTAATATTAAGGTGTAAAATTTCTTTTCTAAAAACATGTTTTAATGTGTTTATCAAAATTTTTAAATTATAGAATTTTGTAACTTCCTGACAAACATGCTCGTAATTTATGTTGGTTTATTGATTACTTTTCCGGAATTTACCGTGCTGACGTAGAATTCTGTAGAATTCTGTGGTGACTGTTGTTTAAAAGAAATTCTGTAGTTGAATCACTAACGCGCGTTATGATTTATTGTTTTGATTTCACGTTACACATGATCTTAGGAGTGGCATAAACGAAAAATATAAAATCCAAATAAGGATATCTTTTATACAATAAATTAAGATTTTAATACAGTCGTCCCTCATTAATATCAACCTATTTGGATTGGTTTAAATTCATGTTGATAGTGATATTAATGAGGGATTATATTAAAGTTGATATATATGAGGAAATTTTAATATATAAAAATTTAGAAAAATTTGGTTTATAGTCTAGGTTGATATTAACGGGGTTGATATTAATGAGGGACGACTGTATTAAGTTAGTGGTCAACTAGCGCTAGATGGATCATTTTTCATTGTAACAGAAAATATGAGCTGACCACAAATAATCCATGCGCAATGACTGTCATGTGAAGACAACATTTATTAAATGCTATTTTGGGTTTGGCTCGAGGGAAGCTCTTATAGAGAACTACGATATAACCCCTGGTTGTCAAATGGTATCGGTGTAATAAAAGGTCATTTTCAAGTAAATGAGTTGAATATTTATCGTTAGCCATAGATTCTCCCTTTCAATATCTTAAATAGTCATATTAGTTGATCTCTCGATTAGATACTAATATTCAAGCCTGAAAAGTATAAAAACCTTTCGTTTTCATGTAATAAGAAGAGTGGATTACATTGAAATCATAAAGACTAACCTAACCATACTTAGTGATCCTAATGGCAATATGATCTTTGATTCTCAGACAAGTCTTCCACTCCTTCTTTTGAATAGCTTTTATTATGTTCTATGTTTTTATTGTGTTTTGGTTGTAAGACGTGATCACCTCGAGTCCACCCTTCACACTATATACAGTGACTCTCAAAAATGCATCATCTAAATGCAAAACTTCGAGCTCGCATTCTCCTCGACGACAAGTTATTTTGAATAAATTCTTTTTTTTTATTTAATTAGCATCAACTCATAATATCTAATGCTCTTTTAACGAAATTGAATCACGAAATCTCGATCAGTGTTACAATTTGGCAAGTTTTGACGATGCAATTTTTTTAATCAAAATCGAATAGTGTTTTAACTTTGAACCAGAATATTATTGACGGGAGCTCAAATAATTTCAGTTCAAAGTTATCTGACTGTTGCATCCTTGGCCATTAAAACCGGTTTGGCCCTTATTGGGATGTATGCAATTTTAGCTAAACAAAACTTCGAGATTAAAAATTTAATAATAAATTACCATTAAATTTTTAGTCTCTAATTTTTGTTTAGCTAAAAATGTATACATCTCGATGAGGACCTAACCGTTTTTAATGGCCAAGGATATAACAGTCAGGTAACTTTGGTCAGTAATATTCTTGTTCAAAGTTAAAACTGTTAAAAACATGCATCGCCAAAATTTGCCTAATTGTAATAAAAAAATTTATTTCAAAAATTTTGTTGGGAGCTCAAAGTTTTGCATTCAGGTGATGTATTTTTTTGAGAGTCACTTTACATGGCCAAGAATTGACTAATTCGAGTCGAAACAAGGTGAACGCGTATTCAATCACGTGACTGTAATTTATTTCTAAGATCAGGCTACTTCTAAGACTAGCCTAGCCCACTTTGTAATGTTTAGAGTTACATTATGCAAACGTCAGTGTTATTTGTGCAAACGTCAGTGTTAGATTATGCAACAATGTAATACAATGCAAAACGTCAGCTTTATACTATGCAAACGTCATCGTTATACACCAAATATAAATTACCGCATTGAATGACTATAATTAGAATAGAATATGGTACATATCATGTGATGAGTTTCTATACCGTTAGCACGAATTGGTATTCATATGCGAAACTATAAATTAATCAATCAATAATTCTGATAATTATGGATGTAGATAATACGAAGACGCATATGAAGTTTGAGAGACAAAGAATATTTAATTCTTCATATAATTGTTACTTTAGAAGTCTACGATCAAGTTTTAGTTTGAAGAAAACGAGTAGTACATGTAACCATGGCGCTTGTAAATCTACACCAAATGCAATACATCTATTATAAATTGAGATAATCTAATCATTTATGGTGTAACTTGAATTAGTCTGATGATGACCAAGCTTTACATCATTAAAACCAAAAAAGTTTTAAGAGAAATTTAAAGAACTTTTTTTTTTTATCAGTAACCTTCCAGGAAATCATTTGTAAGGAGATATTTATTAAAATTTATTGTTTTTAAAGCATTTCTCGCAAATTATTCTCGTCTGACAAAATACATAAATCGATTCAAGTATTTCATGCATAATAACATTACGATATTTGGCGTTCACTCACATAAAGTTCAGAATATGCAGCAAGGTAAATAAGGCACACACATCTGTAAACGTGCGCATTAGATTACGATTAGAATCCCGGCGAAAAAATTCCTTTGTTGTGGAGGTGACATTTATCTTGCATATCGGAACCCCCTTCTTGTATGATTTAACTTTTAAATTATTAATCGTATATATGTATTATCATGTGGCTTGTGCACAAGATTGGCCAATAATAATGCGGGATTTGGTGTAACACAATTTAACGTGATCAGTAATGTAACTTTCCGGCAAACATGTCTACGTTTCTAACAGTTCAGGTTTATGGGGCTAGCAATGCCAGTCTAAAAAATTTCGCTCCTATTAAAAAAAATTTCGCTAAGAAAAAAATCTTTCGCAATTAGTTTAGGGTTAGGGTCCTACCAGTAAATTAGTATTTGGTTTAAAGGTTCTAGTTATAGTAAAATTTCCCGAGGAAAAATTTTTGTTAGTACGCAGGAGGCACTTTCATAAGCAAAATTTTAAGATATAAGCGTTTTCTTGTTATTTTGATTTTTTTGTACTTCTTTTACGTTACACCTGATCTCGAAATCTGATTGGCTATCGAAATTTTTTAGATTGGTATTTTAAACACTGTCAGGTTGGCCAAATTTAATTTGGCCTAAAATCGATATTTTTCACTGTACTTGATATTGTCCTGTGTTCGTTTCGGTCTATTCAATTCGTAAAGGAAGATCCCCGGATTTCTGGGTCAGAATGCCTCGGAATCATGGTCGGCGGGATCGGAATTAATCAAGATCACCAAAAGTCTGGTTGGCTTGTGTTACGAGATACCAGCCTAAATCCGATGGATCCGACTCGGAAATTTGGTCAATGAAAAATCAAATGAAACAATTAGCTATGGATCAATTATTAATCTATCTGCCCAGATCTCTAAAACTTGAGTGTGACACCGATAATAATTCCCGAATCTGTTCAAATGCATTAGGTAAGTGTCACCCCCCTTACTATTTCCATATCAATATATACGTACGTATGTACATACTGTACGTTTAATTCCCCGCGTATTTACATTTGTTTCTATCTATAAAGATAATAAAATACTGCCGGTTGGAAACTGGTTTACTCAACTTTAAAGTTACGAGATTACTCTATTTATAAGTACTATAATAGGTAAGATTCGAATGGTCTTTATCCCTTAATGATGCATCAAATGTAATTTAGTAATTATATTAAAGTCGGGAATATATATAAACCACTTGGAATGGCGTTATTTTTCCAACTAATGTAAATGAAATTAATTTGATCATTATTTTATTGAAATAGTCATTCTCATCATGGCAGATTCTCACTATGTTTTTGAAACAAAAAGACCACATGTAAAAGAAAGAGCTCTCGGGATTGCTCGTGAGATTCCCGAATTTTCAATTCGATATATTAAATCCCTTTTTCCTATTTTTACCTGGATACATTATTATAATCTTACTTGGTTTATTAGCGATGTGATAGCTGGTATAACTGTTGGGTTGGTGGTCATTCCTCAAAGCATGGGTTATGCAAAGATTGCAACTTTACCTGTGGAATATGGTCTATATTCTTCCTTTGTTGGTGTCGCGCTATATTGTTTCTTTGCCACCTCAAAGGATATAACTATCGGTCCTACTGCTGTGATGTCTTTACTCATGGGACAAACTATAAGCTCAATTCTTAAGACTGATACAACTTACACTAATACAACGATTGCTGCTACTTTTTCCTTGTTAACTGGATTAATTGCTCTTTCCTTGGGTTTATTACGTCTCGGCTTTATTGTCGATTTCATTCCTGCTCCAGTTGTCGCCGGTTTCACTACCGGTTCCGCGATTAATATTGTTGTGGGTCAGGTAAATATCTTGTTCAAACCTGTATTATCAAACCTGTATTATCAAATGTTTAGTTAAAATTTTTTGGTTTTTTTTTTTAAAAAAAAAAAAATTTATTTATTGCATTCTATGCATAAAGATTGCAAATTTATTAGGTATATCTGGTATAGATAATAAAGAAGCTACGTACCTAGTGCTTATTAAAACCTTTGGTGCGCTAGGACGTACAAAAGTTGATGCAGCTATAGGACTCCTTGGTTTATCGTTTCTATATACAGTTAAACATGGTTGTTCTTTTCTTTCTCGACGTTATCCCAACAAAGAAAAGTGGTTCTTTTTCCTCGGGATTTCACGCAACTTTGTTGTGGTTGTTATATGCACTTTTATCGCCTATCTGTTGAACATTAGTCAAACCACAAGTCCCATTAACATTTTGAAAAATGTACCTTCGGGATTTAACCATATTGGCGCACCTGAACTTAATCCGGATCTCTTAAGACTTATTGCGGGATACCTTCCCGGTATTTCCGTTGTAATAATTCTGGAACACGTAGCCATTGCAAGGAGTTTTGGAAGGATAAATGACTATAAAAGTGTGTTCCAATAGCATTTTACATTTTTACTATCATTCATGAGTTTAAAAGTTGATGTTATAAATGACATAAAGCATATTAACTTATCATTTAAAAATATATTTATAGTTGTTGCCAGTCAAGAACTCATTGCTATCGGTGCTACCAATGCGCTCGGTTCATTCTTTGGTGCTTATCCTGCTACCGGCTCTTTTTCACGTAGCGCTATTAAGGCAAAATCTGGTGTACGAACACCTCTTGACGGTATATTTACAGCAGCATTAGTAATATTAGCACTCTTTGTTTTAACCCCAGCATTTTATTATATCCCTAACGCGACGCTTAGGTAAATGATTTTTGATTAGTTTTTTTGTTGGTTGTTCTTATTTCTTTATTTTTAAATTTTTTATTTTTATAGTGCTGTTATTATTCATGCTGTGCTTAATTTAATCTCTGGTCCTGATTATATAAAACAGCTATGGGAAATTCAATGTACTGTAATCAAATATACTTCATATTTACTATAAATTATTTTCATTTAATACTGACCCATTATTTTGATGACTATTTTTAGTTTGGGATTTAGTAGTCTTTGTTCTTGGTGTCGTTTTCAATTTCTTTTTCAGTGTTGAGGTATATATTTATCATATTAAATACCAATTTTCAATATATTATTTATTAACTTACAGTTATTAATTTATAGATTGGGATATACGTTTCAACTCTTGTTGCTCTTGTGGTATTACTAATTCGACTTGCACGTCCACGATTTGATGTACTTGGTCGTCTGGAAATTGCCTCATCAAATGGCGACGGTTCCAAAAAATTCACTTACGTTCCATTGTGTTCAATGTTTCAAACAGCTCAAAGTCCACCTGATGGAGTTCTAATATTTCGATTTGATGAATCACTAACATATCCTAATTCAAGTTATCTTGAAGATCAAATAGTTAATTATGTTAAATCTAATACTCGTCGGGTGTCCAGGACCGCAGAAAAAATTGGTGATCGACCATGGAATGATGCTGGTGACGATTATGAAAATAAAGTCCTAGAAAATTCAAAATTACCAAAATTGAGAGCGATAGTATTTGACTTTTCAGCAGTCAGTACAATAGATTCTACTGGTGTACAGGCATTGGTAGACATTAAAAAGAATTTAAATAGATACACTGGTGATCACATAGAATATCATTTTACAAATATTCTTAATGTAAACATACAACGTGCATTAATAGTCGCAGGATTTGGTGAAGTAGAACAAACAAAATTAGTTATTGACGTTGGGATTCACTCGGTTGAAGAGTCATCTGAAGAAAATTCGGAAATTTCATCAGTTGAAATTGGTATATCTAATGGGACTAGTATGAATCCGATTAGAAAGAAATATTTTCATTTAAGTTTGCAAGAAGCTGCTACGGCTGCTACTAATGGTGTTTGGTAGTTGTTTGAATAAGTGCTGCATGCATTAAAAATTGTAAGAAAATAACATGTATTAATTTATTTTTTCACACAAATAAATTATTTGTAAATAGTTTTTTTTTTTTGAAAAATATGTCAAGAGTTTATGATTTTTTTGAAATTAAAGAAATCACAAAAAAAAAGTTAGAAAACATATTTTCTTTTACGTCTGACCATAAAACTTTGAATTTTTGTGGTTCAATATATAAAATATAATGTACTTTTGAGAAATCAATATAAAGGAAGCTGTGCGTGTATATAGTTGCATCCAAACTGTTTGGGACGCCCCAAACCATGCGATATTTAGCATCACATATGATTTTAACCTAGCTTTAACCTAATTTTACCAATATTATTCTGTTAACAAATTGAGTAAGAAAACATATATAACTATCTAATAAAAAATTATCTGATTATAATATGTAGTCCAAATACAACTAATTATAGTAAACTATTTATCTAATTTTAGGCTTCTAACTTATTGGAAATATTTTATTACTATAGTAGGCAATTACTAATTTGATATTTTCTTATAAAGGAGAAAAAAAAATAAAAAAATAAAAGGTTTAAGATAAAACAAGTATCAGTCGTTATCATTGTCTGAAATCAATCCACTAATTACAGTGATCCAAGATATTATTAATTAATACTCTCACATGAAAAAATACATCATTGGCTCATACATAGTAAACTTATATAAAATGATATAAATTGATAATTCTAATATATAATTCAATTTCTCTTTCTCTTTTAAAGATATCAATACTAAAAAAATAAAAATGAAATGTCTTTTTTATAAAAGCTTCTAATTTTAAACCATCGGTAAAAGGATTGTAAACCATTCCCTTCGCATACGGCTCAAAAATTGAATGATGTCAGTGTAGATATTCAAGCTGGAATGGGATCACCAAATATCGCACAGTAGAAACATGCAATACAGCAACGAGTTAACGTTGCAAAACTTATAGTACCATCTGGTATACAAAAGGTTTGTATATATCTTATATATCATTTTACTACGTATACAAGTATAATGGAAGTAATGAAACTGAGGAAAGTAATGAACATAACGATGGTAGTAATGGTAACGGTGAAAATCATGAAAATAACGAAATCGATAATAAATACGAAAATAATCAAAATGAAGATCAAGCCAATTCAATCGCCCAAAATCGATCAAGATCTCCATTTACTCCTTTACTTATTCCGCCAGCAATTCAAAATAATAACGCCCAGGGGTTTCACATTAATGGTTTAAACTTTAACTTTACTAATTGTAAAGTTAGGATTTTTCTAAGCCGTTAAAATAGTTTTTTTTAAATTGTAAAAAACTTATAAATTACTGTAGTAACTACCCGGGTTGTTATTAAAGGGTAATATCCAGGTTATGCTTAAAAACTATTAAAATACTTTGCCGATATATATTTATACATAATAAAAAATTGTGATATTTCTCTTATTAATTTACTGAGATAATAACGTACTAACTAGTTGCAAATTTCCCCTGACAAAAATCATGTGAGAGTTGAGCTAGAGTATTATGTAGAAAATTTACTATATATAATTATCGCTAGAAAATCTTTTACAAATTACAATGCTGATTAGACTAAAAAGTTATTGCAAGACGATATCAATTTCTAAAATAAAGAATATGGTTATTAAATACTTTTTTTTTTTAAAAAAAAAAAAAAATCAGAATGCTGAAAAAAAAAACCTTCAAATCATCGATAATATCGACTTCATTAAGTCCTTTTGGTCCAATTCTACCATATCTCAAATCGCTCATATCCTCATTTATCCTTTGATTTTAGAAAAATTATTATCGAACCAAATATCCCTATAAACATCCATTGAGGATAATAAATACCTTTGAATATCCTGAAACAATTCATTACGTTCCATCTCCATAAAATTAATCTCATCTGTCATTTGTTTTTCTGCAATTGATAATATTTCAATTGCTTGATTTAATGTCAACCGATCATTCGACTAATTATAAAAATATCGTAAGTTTAAAAAAAAAATTTCAATTATGAATTCATTTCATTTATTGTCATACCACATCTAATATTTCATCTAATGTTTCATCTTGATTCATATCAATATCCATCATATCCTTGTCTTGACAAGTACGAACTTTCCAAAAGTCAAGTTTTTTACATTCTTCTATCGTATTTTGATGAACTAATTCCCTCGTTGCACTTCTTTCAGCCTGATACTCTTTATACAATGTTTTAATATGTTTATTGTTTCTAATAAGGTTATTGATATTATTAATATTTTTCTTATGACGCGTCCTGACAAAAAAAAAAGTAATATTCACCTATAAGAATTAGGAAACAAATTCGTAAATTGTTTAAGAGTTATATTACTTTCAAGTTCACTGTTAAGGAGATAGGAAAGTAAAACAGATTCTTCGGTTGCCATTTATTTTAAATTATATGATTTGATAGAAAGAAAAGTTGTAATTTGTTTAGTAATAGCGGTGGTAAGCAATTACGTGACCAACGATCATTTCCGAGATCGATTCCGATCTACTGTACATAAACAGGGGGAACCGTCCAATGTTACACGAATCACGCTGTGATCGACATTGCACATATCATGTTGACCGATTTTCCACGTGAAGTTGTTACGGACGGATGCAACAAGTTTAATTAATTAAAATCGATCATAATTATGTAATAAGGTGATTTTCGCAGCAATAATAAAAGATATTAAAACTTATTTTTAATTCATTTATTTCTACTGAATTGTCTATTATTTTATCAATATCATCTAAAGTTTCATCATCAATTACATTTTCATTCCCCTTATTCATTGACTCATTTTCAAATACTTTATTAGTCATACTTAACATTAGCACATTGATGTTCTTATTAATTTTGTATTGAAGATAATCTAAACAAATAAGACATTTAAAATAAGATTTTTGTAAGCAAGAGTTATGGTATCCATGCCTACACGTTAAAACAATACCATTATACAAATCATAAACTCTGTCGCAGTGTATCGAATTGCATAAAACTAATGTGTTGGGTTTTATGGAAGTAACAAAGCCCCTTGAAAGATGATGATCAGTCACATCGTAATTTAATGAAGGTAGTTAATATGTATTAATACCATTTTTCAAAAATTTGATAATGGTGTAAATATTATAATTTCGATACACTTTTGCAAATAATTCTAAAAGTCATATAGAGCACTTTTGATAAAGCATATTTAATTGCTTCGGAGTATATGGATACTTCATAGAATTTACAAAATTTTGATGAAAAGCATTATTATTTCTTTGCTGAAAAATAGAATATACTTCTTTTCGCAACTGATCAGCAGTAAAGAATTTGGAAGTACACCTTCGAATAATGTTATGTACAATTTCAACTGGAGAATCACTAAGAGAAGCCAAATAGTTAGTAATCATTTCAAACATTAGATGACCAGTTTCTATCCAATAAAAAACATCAGAAAAAAACATTAAGGAAACATGCTTATAATTCTTTCGATCAAATTAGAAAAAGAGATCATTCCAACAGCGCATACAAGTTTCCTCATAAGCTGGCCAGTTTCCTTCATGATGGTGTACAGCATAAATGTCAAGAACTAGAGGAATTAAATTATTTAGTAAATCGGTTAGATAAAAAATTCTATATTCTTACACATATAACCAAATTTTGAATGAATTGTATTAGCAATATTAGACCATGCTATACATACGATATAGAGAATTAAATCAATTCTTCATAGCTGTAGTGTCTTACCAATATTTTTTTTTATACCAAAAATATTCTTGTATATATCAATAAATAAAAATAAATTCTTTTTATATACAAGCTCACGACCATTCAAGGATACGTGAAGAGGCCCTATAATAAGTAAGAATGATGTAACAAAAGGAGGAACAGATTCATTGTTAAGGAGAAGTCATTGAGCAATAGCTTTACGAATGAAAAACTGATCTGGCCAATCAGCAACCATAGGAACTACACAATTGGAAAGATATAGCTGCATCGATTCTTGGTTGTGTACAGTATGAAGAGCCTTCAGGTATCCCTCTATACCTTTCAAGTCTTTCTCAATAAAATTGATGAGAATAGAGTCGTGTATATGCTGATCGTTTTTCTTCTCTATGAGCCTATCATTATAATTATGTAATACTAAATTATCTATTACCTCTTCATTAGTATATACTTTAGTACTTTGCATGCAAGAATACGAAACACCAAGATTTATAATAAAACATGTGTTAATATGTTTTATAATCAAACCTTTATCAATTAACCTTGGATTAATAACTCTATAAGATGGAATTGCTGGTATTAAGAGCAGATTTACCAAAATTGTCACTATATGTGTTGGCCTAGAAGTACTAGTAGTGTCAGGTCAGTGTGGAATATGAATATTGTAATAGTTGTCTACATTTAGCATGAGTGCATTGTTCAAATGCTGTGAAAGTACACTCTCCGTATTTTTTTCATGCTCATTGGATATTTTCTCTTTCTCTCATTTACTATATTTGATGTCATAGCAACACCAAGATTCACCATTGTATTCAAGCCTTCTTTACTTGTTTCTACTGAATCTAAATAAAATGCTAGATCAAGCTTAAAGGAATTAATTCTCGTGTTATTTAAGGATGCAAGAAGATAATATATTAAAACCATCAATCTCTTCATGCAGTCCATCGTTTGCTTATTACGTTCACCTGGCTGAGCTACAGAATAAAGTTGAATAAAAAAATCTTCAAGAGTTGAATCAGTTTTTTGAAATAATTCACGCATCTCATCAAAAACATATATAGGATCTTCTTTTTTTACATGCTCTCTCTTATAAAGAATTTTGGCTATAGACTTAATAGCCTTAATAAGATTGATCTTACTTAAATCACTTACCTTCTCTAACATACTTGCCTCCTCCACCTCAGCTGTAGGTTGATCTTTAATGATTCTTGCTTTCTTGGGATCTCTGCTTAATGGGTTTTGTACTAACTCCATGTAACAATAATTATATAAAATAATATCTTCTACTCACATTTCCTTCACCAACCTATTATTTTTAGCTTCATTTCACTTTTTATCTTTCAATGCACAGAATTTACAAGATTTGGTAGTGTGGCAGTTAATGCATTCCTTCATTTTATATAGATCTTTTAAGGGCAAAACTATATATAAAAGTTGTGGGATTCACTGAGATTCAACTGATATTCTTAAACTACTGTACGAAAGCTTCAAGTTTACTTAAAACTACCCTACGTTTCAAAGTAGATTAAGTAATGTGAACCCTTTGAAAAAATACTCTAAAACAATATAAAAAAATTTTTTATAAATTGTATAACTGATCTACAAATGATGTGACAGTTCCTCCTGTTCTGTACATATCGATACTCATAACAGTAGGATAATCATTAAACTAATAAATCAAACTATAAGTAGTTGTATATATAAAATTTACTATGTAAAGATTTTTTATAGGTTTTTTAACAATTTCAGAAATTTCACTTTTTGCAAATTATTTTCTTTATTTATCTAACAATTATTTCTTTATTTATTGAACAAACTATTAAACAGTTTATTGGCTTTATTTTCTCCAAATATTGTTTGTTTTTTTCAGCATCCTGTTCATCAAATTTTCTTTTATTTCTTCTTTGAACTGCCAAAACTTCATCGAATAGAGATATTTGTTTAACACCAAAAAGACATAGTTTTGCTTTTTTAGTTTCCATATTCATATTTTTGTGATATTTAAGATTATACTTGTTAAATAAACTTCAACCTGTTGTTGGTAGATGATGATATAATAAATTCGACACTTGATGAATTCGTATAATAAAGGAAAATTATGAATTGGTAAGTTATCAGAGTTGGCAAAATCAGATAACTTTTGCAAAAATAATAAATCTTCTATTGCTTGTAACAACCTAAAATCATTAGAATTAGATTGTTCAATATTCGATTTTAAAATAGTCAAGTAACATAATTCCTTAAGGCTAGGAATTTGTCTTCTTTATGTATTTAACCTTATATTCAAATAACTTTTAGCAAATTCATGACCATCTTTACCACCTAATTGACATATACTTAATGAAAGATGAATCCACATGCTTAATCATTTTTCCAAAGAATTTATAGTTTTATCAATGCCACTTTCCAAATTAACAAAAAATTGTTTAAATATTTCATTATCTTGCAAATTAGTAGCATTCTACAACTCATTATCAAAAAACAAACAAATATCATCTCTAATATTATTCAAATTTCTTATCCATTTAATATATGCATTAGACATTTCATGAGCTCGTTGGCTAGGTAGAAATGATAGTAATTAACTGTCTGATTGAAGAATTCATAGTTCTTTATCAGACTTAATTAAAAAATTTATTATTAGTTTGTAAATTTTTTCTCCAAATTTTGCAAGACATTCGATTTGAATTTTTAAACCTAAGCTATAATTAGATGAATTAAAAACAAAATAAAATAAAATAAAAAATAAAATAAAAAAATAAATAAAATTTCAAACCTGGATCTGCGAGCCATTGTTGAAGAAGTTTCCACTTATTAAGTTATGGCATTGGAATTTTTTTTTGTAACTTAAGATTGTTTAAAAACGAATTAGTAAATTTCTCTACATATTTTCTTCTTTCTATTAGTTGTCTCGTCACTTGTAATTCATATAGCCATCGTTGTCATAAAGGTTTTTAAAATTGAGTTAAATGAATGCTAAAGAGTTTAAAATATAAATCGAAAATATAAGAAGATTTCATATTCATTGGATTATCTTTGTTACTTTCACTATAACTGTTATGTAATATCCAAATAAGGTAAAACAAATTGAATAGATGTTTTTGGAAAGAAAATCTCTTTTCGACCTTTAATTTACCAAATGTGGCATTTTCAAAATTTAACATCATTATATATGCCGCATAAAGTTCACATGATATCCGAAATGAATTAGAATTAGTCACCTTATTAAATAATACTACCATGCCATTTTTAAAGCCTGACATATACAGTATGCTGTATTGTCAGTTGTCCAAGTTAAATATTTAGTTAGATCTAACTGATATTAATTGCATGATTTAAGAACAGTAGATGCAACTAATGATCCTGAACATTGAATTAAATCTTCAAGTTCTAATAGGGAAACTTTTGGCTTATTAGAAACTAAATCCCAATACATAAAACATATAATGAAGACTTTACTATCACCATGTGTTGACTCGTCTGCCATAATTCCAAAAGTAAACCATTTAGAAATTTTAGAGATTGCACATTGTTGGATTATATAAATATTTGAAACATCCTAGTGCCATCCAACAAGTGTACTAACAGAAAACCATTTATCTGGCTCTTCGTCTATTAGTCACTCAATTACTTTTTTTATGCAAGCTATGACAGATCAATAAGACATTTGACTAATTTTGCAAATTT